TGAGAGCTGCATGGTCAGTATATACAATTACCTTGGAACCAATCAGATATGATCGGAACTTGTCAAAAGCAAACACGACTGCCAACATCTCCTTCTCCGTCACTGTGTAATTGAGCTGTGCACCGCTTAGCGTTCTGCTTGCATAGTAAATCGGGTGCATCAGCTTGTCTTTTCTCTGCCCCAAGACTGCTCCTATAGCATAGTCGCTGGCATCACACATCAGCTCAAATGGTTGCTCCCAGTCGGGCGCAACAATGATGGGTGCAGTGATCAACTTCTTCTTCAGTTCCTCAAATGCCAACCTGCAATCATTAGAAAACACAAAGGGGTGATCCTTTTCAATGAGTTTGCATAATGGGTTAGCAATTTTGGAAAAGTCTTTTATGAAACGCCGGTAGAACCCGGCGTGACCAAGGAAACTTCTCACCGCCTTTACTGAAGTGGGCGGTGGTAACTTCTCAATCACGTCAACCTTAGCATGGTCGACCTCAATACCTTTTCTGGACACTCGATGTCCCAAGACTATCCCCTCTTGTACCATGAAATGGCACTTCTCCCAGTTTAGTACCAGGTTTGTCTCCACACATCTTTTGAGCACTCTGCTTAAGTTGTGAAGACAGTCTTCGAATGAATCTCCCACCACGGAGAAATCATCCATAAAGACCTCCATAATGCCCTCCACCATATCTGTAAAGATGGCTAACATGCACCGTTGAAAAGTTGCAGGTGCATTACAAAGCCCAAAGGGCATTCTCCGAAAGGCAAAGATGCCATACGGACAGGTGAAGGATATTTTCTCTCTATCTTCGGGGGCTATTGAAATCTGATTGTACCCCGAATATCCATCTAGGAAACAAAAGTGGGATCTACCAGCCATCCTGTCCAACATTTGATCAATGAAGGGTAAGGGAAAGTGGTCCTTGCGGGTGGCGGTGTTTAATTTCCTGTAATCCATGCAGATTCGCCACCCTGTGACTGTACGAGTTGAGATCAACTTATTGTTGTCGTTTTTCACAACAGTCATACCCCCCTTTTCGGGACACACTGGATAGGGCTGACCCAATTACTATCAGAGATGGGGAAAATAATTCTCGCATCTAACCATTTGATCACCTCTTTCTTTACAACTTCTTTCATGTTAGGGTTCACCCTTCGCTGGTGTTCCCTGGAAGGTCTGTGCCCTTCTTGTAGGAGAATCTTATGCATGCAGAAAGCAGGGCTGATGCCCTTAATATCTGTCATGGTCCAACCAATGGTCGTCTTGTTATCCTTTAGTACCTGCAAAAGCTGCTCTACCTACACATCTAGCAGACAGGATGATATAATAACAGGTAAAGTCGAATCAGTGCCTAGAAATGCATACCTGAGATGATCTGGGAGTGGTTTCAGCTCCAACTTGGGTGGTTCCTCTATTGATGGCTTGGCTGGAGGAGTGACCCTTTTCTCCAGCTCCAGGGACTCGAACTGAGGTTCCCTTGACCAAAATCCTCGGCATTCCAATGCCATTACCCATTCAGCTAACCCCTCGCCATCCATTTCGTCTAAGTTTGTCAAGCATGCCTCCAATGGGTCCCCCACAGTCAGGGCCCTATCATCCTCTTGCAGAATTACATCAACTGCTTCCACTAGAGAGAAATTTGCATATTCGCTGGGTCTCCTCATTGATTGTTGAACGTTGAATATGACTTCTTCATCATTCAATCTCATTTTAAGCTCCCCAGTTTCACAATCTATCAGTGCTCTCCCGGTGCTAAAAATGGTCTCCCCAAAATAAGGGGTATCTCCTCATCCACCTGACAGTCCAGAATCACAAAGTCTACAGGAAACACGAACTTCCCCACTTGCACCAGCACATCGTCAAGAATACCTGTAGGTCTTTTCACAGTGCGATCAGCCAGCTGGAGTAGCATCGAAGTCGGCCTGGCCCTGCCGATGCCCAATTTGGTGTATATAGCTAGCGGCATCAAATTTATGCTGGCTCCCAAATCACATAATGCCTTTGCAAAGGCATAACTCCCAATGGTGCATGGAATAGTGAAGCTACCTGGATCGGACATCTTTTGGGCTATCGGTTTTGCCACCACTGCGCTGCAGGTTTGTGTTAGAGTTACAGTGGATAGATCTTGAAAATCAAACTTCTTTCACATTAAATCTTTCATCATCTTGGCATAACCGGGCATCTCCCTCAAGGCATCCATCAATGGGATATTCAACTGGATTTGACGCAGCATCTCCATAAACTTTTTGTATTGGTCTGCCTTCTTTTGCTTGACCAGTCTCTGAGGGAAGGGTGCAGGTATCACCCTTTGGGCACTACTTGCTGGTTTCTCTTTGTTAGGAGTGTCTGGATATTTTGTTGAAGTCCTTTGTTGGGACAGTTCAATGCCCTGAATATTTTCTCGGGGTCTGAGAGTCCTTCTATTAGTTCTCCAGTCCTCGAAGAATTTCTAGGCATACACCTGCTTTCCACAAGATTTCAACCGTTAGAATTTCAATGTAAAGATTGGTAAAGAGAAAACGGATTACACTTGGAATCTTTGTATTTCTTTCTATTGTAATTGATAACACCGTTAATTCCCCGGCAACGGCGCCAAAATTTGATCACGCTCAACTAAGTCTCACAAAAGACTATGCGGGCGTTGCAAATATAATCTGAGTATTATTGCCCAGAGTCGAACCACAGGGAACTAACCTATCAATCACTACTGTCAGATTTACTAAATCCACACAATCTGTTTTCCCAAACTTTTTGATTCACAATGGTTGATTTTTCTAACAACTAAAGATTGAAAGTAATTAACAGCTGAAAATTAACTAAACTTGATGTGTAAACAGTAGAAATAAAGTCTAAGGCAATGGTTTCCCCCGTTGGTACTTTCCTTGGTTGTCTATGTCCTATAACTATGATTTAGCTATCTCTAACAATCATGAACTCTCCATCTATCATAATTCTTTCTCAAGTAATTATAATAATCTACTAGACGCACTTTCTCAAGCTACGCTAGCTACTTGCACAATACGGTTCACTTAGATTGCACCCGGGGTTTCGTTATCTCTAATCCAACCCTTAAACCCTCGGTTATGACTCTCGTCTATACTCCGGGAGTGATGTTGTTCATACAATCACCTAAATATGCACTCTCTCTCAAGAAGATACATAATAAATAGGAACGGATAATTGAGAGCCCTTTCAACTATTCCACGATCAAAACATAGATGAACAATTAGAGATTAACAATCAAATCTAATTATATTGATAAAACAACCAAGTTATTCCCAACGGGTTCCACCAAAACGTTAGATTAAGGTTTTTAGCTACTCATAACAATGGGTAAATCAAATACTAAAAGATTCATAATCATAAATTGCAAGAAAATAAAGAAGAATAGAAATAATGATGTTTTGGGTGATCTCTCACACTTGTTTTTCTTGCCAAAGTACTCTCCAATAATGTTACATGCCTCCCTTGGGCGAGTTCTATTGTTTAAATAGGGTTTTGGGCTAAGAATTTCGGAATTTGCACTTCAGTCCTTCAATTTCTCGTCGCCTGTCGCGGTCCTACCGCGCCCACGCTGGGACCGCGGCCAAATGGCCTCTCTGAATCTCCTCTGACAGCTCACCGCGGTCCTACCGCGCCCACGTTGGGACCGCGTCAGTTCACCTCCAGGCCTCGTTTGTGTATTTCAAATGGTTCACTCGGCGACTTTGATGCGATTGGCTTCTTTTTCTTCCATAAATGATACAAAACCACTCCATAGCCTTCTTCTAATGTATGTAACCTGAAAAACATGAAAAGCACTAATAAGAGCATTTTGCTATCACTTTTACAATAAAAACTCTACAAGAAAGTGGTTCTTTTGGGGCTTAATCATANTTTTCTTTTCCACCAGAAAAAGGATTCCTTTATTTTCTATTATTTAGGCACAGCAGGGACCACAGAATTTAATTAACAAGGCTTCCAATTATGGAATTAATTTATAATTTTTGAAATTAATATCCACCATAATTAATTACGAATTATTCCACTAAAAATTCGTAATTGCACTCCTTATTCAATTTCGAAATTCATCCATTAAATCTTATTTAACTCCTCATGTTAAGATTCAGATACTAATCAATTAAATTAAATTATTGACGATTTAATTTATTGATTATTTCCTTTAGACTTTCGCTTAACTTATTTCATGTGTCGGATACAAAATCCACCGGTCGGGTTTACACATGAAAACTTATAAGCTTTCATAAAGGTGTATCATCAATCTCTAAACCGAGACATGGATTCCATCAACTAACTATTACTTCGCCAATGTACATTATTATTATCCAATTTACCAGGCATATTAACCCACGAAAGAATCTCGCCTTTTAATAAATCAAAACAATAATAATATACACAGCTAATAATAATTATATCAAGATTAAGAGTATAAGTACATTTAATGGCTAGAGAGTTTATTTTATTAAGTCAGTATAAAATACTTATCTCTACTTGGTCCGTTCAATACATACAAAATGTACTAGCACAAGAAGTTGAAATTTAACCATTTCCATAATCAAGATAAATTATATTTAATCTTGTGCTACAATCATTCCTGATGGTTTGTCCAATTCCATCATTAGATTGTGAACTCAAACTTTATACTTATAAAAACCGATGATTTAATCTTCCGTGTATAAGCTAAACTCTATACACTAAATCATCTACTATATAAGCAAAGGACACCGACTAATATATGATCTATTAAAACTTTATTAAAATTGAATGAACAATATTATCATAATAAATACTATATCTAAACCAAATCCATGGTTAATAGTATATATCCCAACAGTACGTTACCTGACAATGCAAATGGCATTTCATATTTTTGGAATTTTAACAAATATTACACACTAAAAATTCAGAAGAGTTTGTATCTATATGTTCAGGGTAGTTGAAGGTTAGAGTAGGAAGCAAGATCAATGAACTCACAAGTCACAAGGAAGAAAAAGGAAGAACATAAAGAGAATAAAACTTTATTACAAAAGCCTAATGATCACAAAACAAAAGCCTAGCCTTGAGATAGGAAGATAGTAGAATCCTTCTTAAAATTGGACAAAATCTAGGCTAACTTTATTACACAGTGCACTAAAAGTTAGATGCCCTTGAATTTTCATATAAGACTTTGTCGTCCAATGCAGCGACCAAGGATTTAAATCCTATGGGTTCAACTTTTAAGGTTTTTAGTATTGAACCCATTATTTTTTTAAAGTTATGAGTACATATTCACTATTTTTGTAATTTTAATGAATTTTTACATATAAATTTTTACTCCGCGTCAAAAGTTATGGGTTCAGTTGAACCTGTTAGTTGTTCACTACATCCGCCTCTGCAATGCAGGATGTCACAGTTGACACCAGAGTTCATCGAAATATTTGAGATCTCTTTGCGGTTCCAAAATCCAAGAAGCTGAACATCCAGATTAAGAATGACTTTTAAGAAACTTGAGTATCAGCTCATTGACCTGGTCTGGCAATTGCTCTTGAACGAAATGGGATCCTTCCGGCAAGAACTCTATCTCCAAATTGGTAGCGAAGTATTTCACTTGTCCACTTCTTATGTGGTTTGAAATGTTAAACTCTTCGTTGAGCGACCTGTGATATAGTATGTTCATTCAAAAACTTACTGATGGTAATGAATACGTCGTTACAGATAAGCTCGTCAAGAAAGCAATAATGGCAAAATGGAAACAACAGAAACATGTATTTCCATTATTGCCTTCTTCCTGGCTTATCGGCAATAAGCTGTCTGTTATATTCCTCATGTATCGAATCTCCTAAAATTAGTACATGCATTAAGTCTCTTACCTATAAGGAACCTTTAATGCAGTTCGAAATCCAGATTTCTCATATAGAGCACCATACGCTGAAAGGTCTTCGTCCGAGAACCAAGGGGGTAGAGGGGTTGATGAGTCCACTAAATCCATTATCTCCTGATCAGGTGCTGCTATTGGTATGTCACATCTGGAGAAGAGGATGTATATGTTGCGCAAAACAGTTTTAGCATCAAGCCTAGCAAAATCTGCTTCTGCCCTTCCTGGTTCCTGAATTTGAGAAAGGAAGTTACCTAATTGAAAAACTACATACTTCATATTCTGTTTTTAGCAAAAAGATGACTGTACCTGCCATCTGGAAACATAGAAGCCTTCTGGAAAGGCCTCGAGAAATTTTCGAGGACCTAAAGGTACAAAAGGAGTACCTAATGTGACGACTCCTATAACTCGTTCGGGGTGTAAGAGAACCAGTAACTGAGCCAGCCTAGCACCAAAATCTTTAGCAACTAGAGTTACCTGTCAGCTTAAGTTGTTAGCGGGAGAATCTAAATAGTAGTAGAAGTATACGTTACAAGAAATTGCATAACGACATGAGACGTTCGGATGTTCCTATTATTTGACTTAGACATAACGAATCAAAGCGTTCTGTCTTAAAACTTCCCACTTTTTGCACTCTTACTGATGATGATCCAAGAAACTTTCAAAGTACATTCGTGCAGACAGACAATGAACAATCTTTTAGCATACAACACAGCAGAACAAATTCACTGTCTCAGTTCTCCCTAGATCTGTCCCATTTGCTTTTCTGCATTATCCCAAATGTCGTCTGCTCTTACTTTTTCAGACCAAAAACTAAGGTCAATTGAATATCTGTGATCTGCCTTTCACATTACCTTTTTCTTATGGAATGATACGATCAGCTAGCTGTCGCTGCATATCAGCTAGGCACAATGCAGGATTTCTGTTGGATCAGAAAGCTTTTGACTGTAGCATTATGAAAACCACTTTTACTCTACATAGTTACAACTTTATTCTACTCTAATACCTCTCTGTTCACTTTTACTTGTCCACTATACAAAAAATATATTTTCACTTTTATTTGTCCACTATAATAAATCAAGAGAAAGACAACCTTTTTTTTGCTGCTTTACCCTTATCATTAATTATTTATTCCCCAAATCATTTCCTAAGACTTTTAGAAATACTATCATTATTATGGGTAAAATTGTAAAATACTTACTTCGTTTACTTTTTCTTAAGGGGTGTGCAAAGCCAATAGTGGACAAGTAAAAGTGAACGGAGGGAGTACATCATAAAAAGTCAAAATATGCCTCTACATATTTCTCAATAAAATTATACAGTTCCAACTTCCAGTATTCTCTTAATAATCGTTATTAATACTGGAAAAACAAATGGGAAGGATGAGGGTGTAGAATGATCAATTTTTAGCTCCAATTTAGGCCAAAAAAAAAAAAAAAAATTGTATCAACCCCTAGCCGTGTTAGTTTAGTAAGAAACTTATCCAATGCCATCTAAAGTGAGAGTATATGATAAAGGGCAACCCGGTGCACTAAGCTCTCGCTATGTGCAGGGTTCGGGGAATGACCGGACCACAAGGGTCTATTATACACAACCTTACCCTGCATTTATGCAAGAGGTTGTTTCCACGGCTCGAACCAAATCGAGAGTATATGATATTTACTCTAATATAAGTTTAACCAAATTACAAAGACAAAATGAGCATCTTTAAGTCAACTAGTAAACACAGCTCAAAATCCAAAGTTCCAGCAGATGCATTTGCAGTATAAGATAAGAAAAAACAATAAATGATAAGTAAGTAGTAATTAAGGAGTGTAAAAATGAATCTCAGATCAAATATAGTAATGGAACTACAAATGTACTGACTTTAGAAATGCCAAGAGCATCAAGGAGAGCAACCAAGTCATTAACGAAGTCAGAGAATGTGGTCTTCTCGGGTTCGGGTGGCGGGTCGGATAGTCCATAACCTCTGTAATCGGGTGCAATGGCTCTGAAACCAGCATTAGCCACAGCAACCATCTGGTGCCTCCACGAATACCATATCTCAGGGAAACCATGCAAGAACAATACCACTGGTTTTGACCCATTTCCAATCTCAGCTATATGGAGCTTTAGCTCATTCACTTCCACGAATTTGTGCTCTATTTGATCCATCTCTGATCTCTTTGTGTGTTGACTTTCACATTCACTTTCACTCTTTCTCACTCTTCTTTTTCTGGGAAAGAAGAAAACACGTATATTTGGGATTTGAAACTACTTCATATTAATGTAACTATAGATGCCATTATTAATTAAACGTCTTCCTAATTTATTTAACACTAGATTAAAAATGATAACATGTGCCATATGATATAAAATAAATAATAAAGTGACAGACAATTGCTTGAAACACTACTAAAAACAGGAATTAGCGATGAATAAATTTTGTAGCTAAACAGAAAAATTTGATGTTAATCCCATTTAGGGACGAATTAGCAACATATTATCAAGAGATTTTGTTAGCCTACGAGCTATTTAGCGACAGATTAGTGACAAAAGAGTACAAATCCAACAAGAAGTAGGGTGCATTGGTATAAAAAAAAACTATAGAGGATATTATTTAGTTGAGATTAATTTTTTGTCAATTATGATGTTCTCAAGAGTATTCTCATGAAAAATGATTTGATCTACCAAATACACCTAACTAACTATAAATATCAAGTAATTACTAGAGAATAGTTGAATTAATTTGATTGGCCATCTAGTCACTAATACCGCTATGCGTCCCATGAAATTCTTGTCCTAATGATAATTATTAGGTACAATTATTTTTGGAGTTTATTGCTCGAATGATCATTAATTAATATAAACTGCGTAAAGGAAGACATAATTCTTTTTCTTTTTGTCACAAAAAGTTACTTTGTTATTGCTATTTCACTCGCAAAAGTCATCTTAGCCAGAAGTTGATATTTTGGTATCATTTAATGACATGGAAACACACTTATATCTACATGATAAAAAAAAATATACACTAATTATGCATAAGATATGAATAATTTTTGTGCATTAAATAAAATATATATTTACGGGCTATTATTATTTAGATGGCAGCTATACAGATTTCCCAATTTTAAACCTTTTAAAAATAGGAATTTTTACATTCCTATACCACATAGGAAACCTTTTTACCCTACATATTTAAGGTTTGAGTAAATTACACTTAGTATACCAAATTACCAATCCTATACCATACTTAATTAAGGGTCTAATTAATGGGTTATTTTTACTCCTTAATTAAAGGTATCCATATCTAATTAATGGGCAGTTTTTACTCTTTAATTAAAGGTATCCATATATCTCACGTTTCTCTCTCCTTACCCCTCACCCACGTTTTTACCCATACCCCACATTCTTTCTTGTTCTTCATCCACGATTGCAAGATCAATCAACGAAAGATGTCCTTGAGATGCATTAGCCAGCGAAATCTCATTATATTTGAATGTCGTGCCAATTTCCTCTATAACAATTGTGGCATGTGATCTGATTTTCTGAAAGTCTACATGAAATCAAAAGTTGCAACAAACATTTTTAATACGCCACGAACTAGCAAAACAATGAAAACAGATACACTTTAGTAGTAGTTTTTTTTTGGGTACCAAACAAAATTTCCTCTTCTGGAAAAGTCAAAAATGAGAAATTTATTGGTAAAGAGACTAATATGAAAAGCTGCCGACAACTTCTCCAAACGACTTAGAAATACTGACTGTTGAAGCCCTCACCTAGATTTACTGTCTGTAGTGTAATTGCAGTGTAATTGTAGTGTAATTGTAGATTTAGTGTAATGGATATGATCTGTTTAAGCTCTCACCTAGATTTACTGTTTGTAGTGTAATTGTAGTTAGTTTGTAGTTTATGTAGAACATTCCAAGATTAATTGTAGTCTAAAATGTAGATATAATGTAGACATGATTGTGGATGATGTGTTTCCTGTTTGCCCTGTAACTGTAGGTAAATTGTAGTTATTCTTATATTAGGTACTTAAACTGTAGGTAATTTGTACATTCACTGTAGGTAAACTGTAGGTAAATTTGTTTGAATTGTAGAACTGGTTTTATACATAATTGTAGAGTTTTTGTAGTTAATAGTAGTTATAATGTAGGATTCATATACCGCTTCACACCATCTATTACAGTATGGATATGATCTGTTGAAGCCATCACCTAGAATTACATAACAAACAACAATAAAAATATTTACAATCATAAAATAGTTTATCTACAATTTATCTACAACGTATCTATAGTTATATCTACAAATTATCTACAATCTACAAATTAACTACAATTTGTCTACAAATTATATACAATCTACTATTTGATTTCACGATGTATTTGATTTCTACAGTTTTTTCTGTAGTATCAATTGATACTTGTTCTGCAATTGTAGAAATCAGGATACTGTAGCTTGCATTCTCATCTACCACAATGACATCAACTTCAAAATCTCTAAATCTGCCATAATTATCCCAATCCCCATTAAATTGTAGCATGATTGCGATTTTGGACATGATTTATTGTTGATGTTGATGTTTTTTTTTGGATTTCTAGATTGAAAGAAGAAAAGATGAAGAAGAGATATATCTGATCGATAATTTGATAGAAGCAACGACGAAGAACAGATTTTTTCAACTTTGAGTTGTTGAAACTCGAAAATTTTGAATTCTACAATTTGAATTCAGCTCGTCGAAACTCTTAGTAGTTGAATCCGTTCTTATTTTTAGGAGCTGTTCGTTCTTTTTTTTTTTTCCAGAATTTGAATTGTAGTTCTGGAGAAAAAAACGCAGATGAGAAATCTCCTTTCCCTTTTTAAAAATTGAATTTAATGTAGAATCAATTATCACCAAGATTCTATCCTTAATTTTAGCGCGTTTTTTAGGGAATATTCTGCTCTTTTAATGTCTAATAGTCGAATGGTACAAATTTTATAGGTAAAATATGGACTGGGCGGGTAATATATAAAATATGCACATTTTTTATAATAAACTTTCATATATGGTATAGGAAGTAAAAAATCCTTAAAAATATTTAGCCCAAGCCCAACAAATGGACCCTAAATCCAAATCCGAACCGCTAACTGCCTTCGCCAACCATTCTCAGCTCTGCGCCCTAATTTGTTCCTTCTCATCTCCCTCCGGCGAACTTCTCCACGTTCTCGTAATAATCCGGCTGTATCGAATTGTATGTCTCTAATTTGTTTTCCTCTCTCACTCAATCCCTTAGTTGTTATCGTTTCTGTTATTCGCTTTGCTATTATTTTAGTGCTAAATTTTTGGCTTGATTGAGCAGAAATTTAGAATTTTTGAATGATTGATAGAGTTGAATGGATCTGAATCGGTAGTTACCTGTTTGGTTCATCAGCATACTATATTTGCCTGTTCATTTTGTATTCTGTATCCAGCCCTAGGGTTTCAATTGGGTGATTTTGACTTATAAATTAGTATTCCCTTGTCAATCTGCTAATTATTATGTTTATTGCTTTCATTTTGGGTAATTTTTGAAATATTAACTAAAAGTTTGCTTCTTTCATGTGGTTTTTGAAGTTGTTGTTATTTGCCAAGTAGCTGAGTGGAATAGAAGATCATGGAAGAAGAATTAACTGATTTGCTCTTGGAGGCAGCCGGTAGAACGAACACGGGTGGAAGGAACCGCCCGCCTCCATCGTCTAGAAGGCATCACAAGAGTTCTTATTCTGACGATGGAAGTGATTCCAGGGACGATGATTCTGATGATGATCGTGGGTATTCGAATAGAAAGCTTTCCGGTTCGCAAGTGCCTCTCAAGAAGAGATTGGACCCTCCGGAAAGAGATGATGATCGTAGCAGTCACGGAGAAGGTGACGATGATGGAGATGGTTATGGGGATGAGCGCGATAGTGATGATGATTCTATTGGCAGTGATCTTTACAAGGACGAAGAAGACAGGCAAAAGCTTGCTCAGATGTCGGAACTGGATAGAGAAATGATATTGACTGATCGTGCATCGAAGAAATCTGACAGGAGTCTGCAGGAAAAAATTTCTGGAAAAATTAAGAATAGGAGCCAACCCAGGAAACCAAGTTCACCCCCTTCACATTCACGTGGCATGCGCTCATCAACAAGAGCTTTGGACAGGGCAGCTGATAGAGATGATGCATTGAATGAGATACGAGCAAAACGAGCAAGACAGCAGGATCCGGAGGGTAACTGGAAACTGAGGGATGCAGGTCGAAAAGGTTCTGGAGGCAGGGGTTATTCACCGGTCAAACGTAGAAGCTTTACAGCTGCAGCCCTGGGTAGTAGTCCTACCAGGGGGGAAAGCGATTCACGCAGTAATGAGGGAGATTCATCAGGCGATGATGGAATGGATGACAGTGATGATGACAAATCACCAGAGTCACAGTTGCCAACGTTTGAGGATATAAAAGAAATCACCATTCGGCGGTCAAAACTGGCGAAATGGTTTATGGAGCCCTTCTTTGATGAGTTAATTGTGGGTTGTTTTGTAAGAGTTGGCATTGGGAGGTCAAGGTCTGGTCCTATCTATAGGCTCTGTATTGTCCGCAATGTTGATGCCACAGATCCTAATCGACAGTACAAGCTAGAAAATAAAACCACATTCAAATTTCTAAATCTTGTTTGGGGAAATGATAGCTCTGCCGCTAGGTGGCAGATGGCTATGGTTTCAGACTCTCCTCCTCTAAGGGATGAGTTTGATCAGTGGGTAAAGGAAGTAGAACGAAGTGGTGGTCGTATGCCCAGTAAACAAGATGTGTTGGAAAAAAAAGAGGCCATACAGAAGTCTAACACATTCGTTTACTCTGCTGACACTGTAAAGCAGATGTTGCAGCAGAAAAAATCTGCAACATGGAGGCCACTCAATGTAGCTGCTGAGAAGGATCGTTTGAGAAGGGAGATGGAAGTGGCCAAAATGAAGAATGATGAGGCAGAGGTTGAGAGGATTAGGGCAAGACTGCAGGAACTGGAGGCTAGCAGGAAGGCCCAAGAGAAAGATGACAAGGCCCGCAGGCTGGCTGAGATGAACCGAAAGAATAGGGTCGAGAATTTCAAGAATGCATCAGAACTCAGACCAGTGAATCAACTGTTAAAAGCTGGTGAGGCTGGGTATGATCCCTTTTCGAGAAGGTGGACTAGGTCTACGAATTATTTTGCAAAAAGTGCTAACGAAGCAGCAGAAGGTGCATCAAATGGTGAAGCTGCTGCTGCATTGGCAGTTGTAGATAATAATGGGGCTGGTGGTATTGCCGACGGAGGAATGGCAGCTACAGCAGCAGCCTTGCAGGCTGCAGCAGGTGCTGGAAAGTTGGTGGATACTATTGCTCCAGTTGATCTTGGAACTGAATCAAATACGCTACATGATTTTGATCTGCCTATCTCATTGGCTGTGCTTCAGAAGTTCGGAGGGCCTCAAGGATCCCAAGCAGGATTTATGGCTCGAAAACAGAGGATAGAAGCAACTGTTGGATGTAGAGTTCCTGAGAATGATGGGAGAAGACATGCACTAACTTTAAGTGTCAGCGACTACAAGAGAAGGAGAGGGCTCCTTTGAGATGTACTGCTGTTACCACTTCCAAGCTGGTCTATGCTTTTGTTATTAAGCCAACTGGATTGTCCTTCCCTTTGGATTGTTGTTACTGGGGATTTACTTACAAACTGTGAAACTAGAGTGCACTTTTAACTGTTATATCAAGTATTTTGAAATTGTTCTTGGCTTTTTGCTTTTATTGCAAAAGACCTATTGGTAGCTACCAGGGGCCTTTTGAGCTTTACTGAGAACATCACTCTTATACTTCTAATATTTCGAGCATTTATCTTCCATAAGCTGACAGAAAGTCTTATCTAGATCCTTCAATGTTTGGTGGTATTTCATTCTATCTAGAACTAAGATAATGGAAAGATCCTCCAATTTTTGGTGGTATTTCATAATTTCTACCTAGAACTATGTCAATTTTTGGCTAGTGGAGAAGATAATATGAATAAAGGAATTTTGGCATGCATGGAGCAAATTGGAGTTGGTTGCATACAGAGATTCTTTGCAGAATCTGTGCATTGATTGGAAATGGAATCAGCATTAGAGTTTGAAGAAATTGGACGAAGAATGCATTGGTGCCACTTTTTTTTTTTATTATTCTCTAATTTACCCAAAAAGTACAAGAAAACTACACGTTTTATTTGTGAATTTGTTTTCCAGATTTGTGCATTTCCGTCAAGCAAAAATGGCAATCAATTTGGACTGTTAAAAGTCGAAAAGAATATCAAAATTCCTTGCAGCTAATATTTTGCTTCACCTCCATAGACAATAAATTGTGCCGAGAAAATAAAATTAAGACCGAAAAATACTGCAACAATCTTAATATTTAATATCAAGTAATATGTGTGTACAATCTCTATGAATTCTCTGATTTTTCTTTCCAATAGTAAATTCAAGGCCTTTGAGCTTGATCTGGAATATGTAGTTGCTGCCACGAACGATGATCTTGAATTCAATTACCACGAACTTTGATTTGAACTCGTACTCCTTGAGTCTTGATTTGTTCTTCGTTCTTGAGCTTGAACTTGATTTCTTGAACTTGAAATTGGTTGCTTGAAGCTTGAAACTAGTCGAGGAATTTGCAGCGTTTGATCCACGAGCTCTTTCTTGCTTAACTTATGGTGTCTTTTCTGGGTTATGAAGACCCCTATTTATAGTTGTGGTAGGAGTTGTGATAAGAACAAACCCTTTCCGAGCAATCAAATTGAATTGTGACATGGCCGCATTTGATTGGCCAGAACATGTCAGTGGCACACGTGGCGCGATTTCATTGGCCTTTCAATTTGCCCTGGCATGCCTTGTCATTTTGACACGTGGCATGATCCTATTGGCTTTTTTTTTACTTGGCGTGTGATGATAGGCTATAATTACGTATTTTAGTCGCTTATTACACTCAAATTTACTGCACTTTAGTTGAGTTTGCGTTTTAATCGTTAGTGTTTTGCACTAATTGTGTGTTTTGTGGCTTGTAGGAGTGATTCCGAGCTATATAGATGTTATGGAATGAATTCAAGTGATTTGGAGCTTTGAAGTCTGAGTAAAAGCCCAAGGAATTAAGCCGGGATCGTATTCGGGGATCAACGGATGATAGAGCAACAAAACGAAGAATCGAGTAGGCATATTGCGCACTGTCTAGTAAAATGCACATAACTTTTCGCTCAGAACTCCATCTGTGCTACATAATATATGGTTGGAAAGCTAAATCAAAGGGCTACAACTTTCATGTTTTACGTTTTTCCAAATTCTAAACGGAACAGGGTGAAAAACGCGGTCGAAACCGCGACCGCGGACCTGGACGCGGACTGAGGCAGTACACTAGGTAAATACCGCGCCCGGACCGCGACCGCGGCGTCCAGACCTGAAAAATTGTCCTTTTTCGCGTAGGAGAAGGTATAATTGTTTGGGGACCGACCCTACTTGGTATATATACATGAAAAAACGGTATTTTGAGAGGTTGGACACATTTTTGACATAATTTAGACCTAAGGAGGCTAAGGAGACCGGAGATTCGACCTAAGGAGGCAGAGACACAATAGGAGCAAGGCGGGGAATTCTTCTACGGGTTTTTCCTTCCTCTTCCTATCTTTTATTGTTGGCTATGACTTTTAGTATTGTAGTTTTATATACTATTATGAATAGCTAATTTGTTATCTAGGGTTTTGATAGAATCTTTTGTAGGATAAATTCTTGTTATGTTTTTATATAATTGAGCCATTGGAATTCTTTACTTGTTCAACTATGTGTTTATTGTTGTTGATTGAATGACCATCGATTGACTGTGCCTATTTATTATGTGTTGCTTGAGAAAGGATACATATTTAGGTGGTTGTTGAACAACGTCACTCCTAACGTATGTGAGAAATCAATACAGTGGGTTTAAAGGCACGTTTAGAAATAACAAAGCCTTGACGTGTTCATAAGGAACGGTTAGATAAAGCCAACTAGTGTAGTTCGAGAGAATATGTCTAGTAAATTGTTGTAGTTGCTCGAGAGAGAATTACGGTACCTAAAGTGCTCACGATCAGTAGAGAATACACTGGCAAAATTGTAGGGAACATAGCTAGAATGATTTCGATAATTGGGGAAATCATAATTCTAGACCTCCTTAATTTAGTCTCCAACCCTTTGTCTCGTTAGTTGATAATTTTACCGCTTTGTAGCATTTGCTAGTTAATTCGTTAGAAATATAAATCTCAATCTTTATAATTTAAAAAATTATTCAATCTTGTCTTCTTAGTGATATTAAACAGATACAGCTAAGCTTTAGTTCTCTGTGGGATTCGACTCCTGACTTTTAGACCGAATTATTTGCAGCGACCGCTTATCCTTTTTAGGTCTAGAGTTGTGCGTGATCAGCGTGCCACGTCATTTGACACGTGGCACTAAACTGGGCCACTAGGAAGATATTGTACTCAATGAAGTGGGCTCATCGTTTGTAGCCCAGTTAAATAGGCTAGCCCAATAATATTGGACCTTTATTTAAATTAATTTAATTAGATTTAACTAATTAATTCAATACATACATACATACATACATATATATATATATATATACATACATACATACATACATACATATATATATATATATATATATATATATATATATATATATATATAGCCCATAAATTTTTTTGGGCCAAAATATACTACGAGAGAACATGCCATTAGCTAGAAACCAAAATCCTAGTTAACTTACCAAGATCCCTAGCTAATTTCGCATTAGCTAGGAAAATGACCTTAGCTAAATACCATAGTTAATATGCTCTTAGCAAAATTTTAGCTAGAAAATTATGTTATCCGTTGCTAATATAGCTAGGGATATTTGCTTGGCACTAACCCTCGCAGTCATTAGCTAGGACATGTGGTAGCTAAATTCCAAGCAAACGTTGGTCGGTCATTGTTGACTTTGTTGAAACGTAGCTAGGCTATTGCTAGGGATTTATTCCATGCTAATATTTGCTAAGTCTAGGCTAGCTAAATTCCAAGCATATTTTATCTGGTCAGCATTGATTACATTAAAACATAGCTAGGATATCCCTGGCTAAACATACAAACATTCTAGCCTTTTTTGATGTTTGCCTGGAATGTTACCCTAGCTAAATTAGTAGTAGAATTTTTGTCAAGGTCATTCTATAGCTAATTTAGTAGCTAATTTGATAAATATCCTAGGCTATATTTGGTTTGGTTTGGGATATTTTCCAGGCTAAATCTAGCTAGGAATTCCTATATTATATATATGATGAAATAGAAATATAATTTTCTACATAATTTGACATAAGACGAAATAAGTAATTAAATCCGTTAATTCGCACGTAAGCCTAATCATCACTATGTTTCACGGATAAGAAAGCTCTTAATTCTATTCACCTCAACAAACCAAACTAGTAGTTTTCAAACTTTGACTCAGTTAATAGCTCTTATCTACTTGAAACTAACCCTTCTTTAGTTCTGGGAATTACACAACACAAGAAGAAGAATCGGAAGATATCGCTGGAAAATCACCATATATATTCCTTCGCACTTGTTGCTTAGTTCAAATTTTTGTACAAAGATTTATATATATAATCATTCTGAAACAGCTTAATTGTATGTTAAGAAGTATAAGAGTTGCCCATCACTTTATTTGTCAGCTTATTACTGATTGTCAATATGAGTAACATGGTTCCAGTCAAATGCAATGGGTGCTTCAGCACCCAGCACTTCCTACATGGATCTGCCACTGTTAATTTATGTCAAGAATCAATTTTTTCACTTTATTCCTACATGGATCTGCCACTGTTAATTTATGTCAAGAATCAATTTTTTCACTTTTTATACCAACACAAATATTTTATCTTCTTAGAACTCTGCAGGCTTGACATGCTATCTGCGACGACGTCAATACAAGTTGATAAATTGTGCTACTTTGATAGATTTCTAATGTAAATATTAAACCCATATATGACGAAATTATAACAAAGCATCCACAGACTTGGGCAGAGTTACTTCCTTTATTTATTTAATTAGCTGAATCAGATCAACTTTCATCAATTTAAGCAACTTAAACTCTTTTTTAATTTTGATTTATAACTCAAACATATTTTAAATTATATTTATGTGATTATTTGAATTTTAGCAGACACTGGATTCACACGCAACACGTGTACCCTAAAACTAGTAATCAGAAAAAACCAAACAAATCATACAAATAGAAACAATTTAAATCATATTACTGAAAAAACTTCAATTCTATATATAAGATAGGAACATAAATAGTTGGGGGAATTGCTCTCTCTTAGTTCTATAGTTAACGCAAAGTTAAACAATGATCACAACAGTTCTGGTGCGAGAATGATGAACACTCACAATAAATTAAACACTCACAAAAGACCTCTTTGCACATATGCTTAGGTATAGGAGAAATTCTTACCTTCATGGAAGCTTACAAGCGGCAACGGTAATCAGAGTTCTTACTTCACTAAATTGAAAGATGATAGTTGAGGGTTTAGAGAGGTGAAGAGACGTGGAAGAGTGTGTGGGAGTTTAGCAGATTTTAAGGAATTGAGATATAATAATTCCATTAAAATAAGGTAACTAAGGATTTTAATTTACTTTTAAGCCTAACTTACAAAATTAAGAAAAAAGGTTGTCTTTAATATAGGATTTCAATCAGAAGTCAAAGACGGTAACTAAACTTTTATTACCACAATAATAATAATAATAATAACAATAATAATAATAATAATAATAATAATAATAATAATTTGCTAGAGACTAGCTTGGATTCATCC